ATAAATCTCTATGGGATATAACACTTAAGGGAAAATAAACTTGTCTTCTTTCTTTTCTGATTAAAAGCATACTTCCATACATTTCATAAGAAGGTTCTTTATCTACCTTATCTTTACATTTCTTACTCATATCATACAATGAACATAATTTCCTCAACTCATTTCATTCTATGCTTAAGAGTTCTTTCAAGTTCCAACAAAATCTGATCTATTTTCTTCTGAATAGGATGAATAGAATGACGCCCTCTTCATCTTCGCCTGCATGAACATCAATTAGCAATCAAACGCCACAACATATCTTCACCCATATCAATACACGTGGACAACTACGGATACATATTCGACTGGAAAAATGTGTAGATTATGGACAGAGGCAATTCTAAAAACACCAGAGAATTTTTAGAAGCTTGGCATTCAGATCAATCAGCAATAAATAAGCACATTGAAATCAATCCAATTTATCAACCAATAAAGAAAATTATGTAGAAACATAGGAACAAAAATCAAACCAATAGGAGATACAATCAAAACAAAGAAATAAACAATGATTTAAGGTCAACAAGAACCAATCAACATCGAGGTGCACAGAACAAACTGTGAATCACATGTGGAGAAATTCAAACACATCACTTCTACCCGAAGTTTGTGGTGATGATGTCGTTCAGAAGGACGATGAAAGGTTCACGACCAAACCATCCAGCTCACTGAAGAAAACTCCATCAAAATAGAATGATTTATGTTATCACTTAATTTAGTTCATAATTAGAATGTTAATTAGGGGAACATTAGATTTCTCTTATAGTTCTATCACTTACAAATGTCTAGTGAAACGTACACCTCTCTAAAATTTATTTTAACTTCAATTAGTGTATGTAACTCTTCATTGACCGAAAACTTTAAAAGCAACATTTCCACTTATGAATCCTTATATTGTTATTTCATTAATTAAAATAACTTTCATAAGTTAAGCAAATCTTTCATTTACGAAACGAGTATTTTGTGCCATTGAAAGTGATCTAGATGTAGTTTAGTTGATAGATAAACTAAATCATTTCAAGTTAGAAGAGGGGTTTTTGGAGATTTTAGTAATTTTATGTAGTTGAAATCATGAGTCAGTTGAAGTTAGACCATCATGTAAAACCTGAATGCATTGGACGGCCGTTTCGTGTTATTGTGGGACTCCTTAGCATTGCGCAACCACGATACCGCCTCACGGGGTTCGAACCTAGGATCTATCAGTCTCGCACACGAACGCTTAATTTCTACACAACTGAGGTGGCCGGCATCCAAAAGTGTTATTGTCTAACTTTAACCAATCTACGAAAATGACAAACCCTTCACCATGGTCTCCAGTGAGTTGCTATCCCACAACAAACCTCGTTGAACTCCACTGGTTACTGCTTCTCACTAGAACTCCAGGAAATACCTCTTGTAGCCACTCAAGTTACCCAGTAAATCCAAATAATCAGAAAGGGTTTTGTGGAGATTTAGTATTTTCATAGTTGCAACCATGAGTTAATTGAAGCCTTACCACCAAGCAAAACCTTGATTCGAATCTCGCGAGGTGAAACCGTGGATTCGCTTTGCTGAGGAGTCCCACAATAGGATGAAACGGCCGTCTAGTGCTTCCAGGTTTTCCATGGTGGTCAAACTTCAATTGACTTATGATTTCAACTATATAAAATGACTAAAATCTCCACAAACCCCCCTTCTGCTAATGATCATATGCTGAGTAATGACCGGCTCTATGAGGTATTTCTTGGAGTTCTAATGAGAATCAGTGACCAATGGAGTTCAACCAGGTTAATTCATTGATCATTACGTACTACTTATTAGTAGTAAACAAAATAGAATCAAAAATTATTTCAACTCTTTTCTAGTTCATGACTATAAATAGTAAAATTTGTCAATTTCAATAATGTATAATCGGAGATAATAGTTCCTGAATACTTTGTTTCCTACAAATAATTAATCATTTCAAACGTCCATGTAAAATAATAAAGCTGACTTAAGAATATCTAAATACAGTAATTACAATCATTTAACTTCATTATTAATAATAATAATGATAAATTTTCGAAAAAAATTGTTCCCTTCCCTTACACACACACACACACACACACAAAGGAAAATATTTTTTTCGGTGGGTGGTGATATTTTGAAATTATTTCAATAACTAGTCGTTAAATTTATCATTCTCTTTTATTATTATTATTGAATTATTAAATTGATCAATTCATTAATGTATCCATGATGAAAATCAATTTTTTTGGGGGTGGGGGATTGGTCGGGGGTGGGGAAAAGAAAATCAAAACTAAATAAAAACATTCAATAAAAAACTAAGTATTCGCACAAAAAAATGTCGGGAAAGTAAATACCCAAAAAATAATTTAAATTAATCGTACATAAACTACGTTGTTTTTTTTTTTTTAAAAAAAGAAAGTTTTCTGGGGGTAACAAATGCACTTGTTTCTATTTTTTTTTCCCGCTTTTCCCTTCAATATTCATTCATGTTATAGTTTCATGTATTTTTTTTGTTTGTTTTATTTTACAAAATGAAAAATCTTTTTTTTTTATTTTGAAATTATTTTTTTGTTTTTTTTTGTATTGATCAAATCATTACTGTATCCATGCAGAAACTTTTTTTTACGGGGATAGGGGTGAGGAAAAGAAAAATTCAAAGCTAAATAACAAAAAAAATATCGGGAAATTAAATACAAAAAAAATTTTAATCAACCGTGCGTAAACTACGTTTCTTTTTTTATTATAAAAAAAAGGGATTTTTAGGGGGTAACGAATGTATTCATTTCTTTTTTTTCTCTTTTTCTCTTTTTTTTTCCTTCAATATTTATTCATGTTAAATTTTCATGTATTTTTTGTTTGTTTTATTTTACAAAATGAAAAATCATTTTTCTTTCATTTGGAATTTTTTTTTTGTATTTTTTAAAATATTTTTTTGTATTTTTTTGGCATTCTGTTATGTTTATTTCCTGAATAGATTTAGAATTGTAATTTTTTGAAGCATAAATATAATCAAGTTTCCGGTTCAAAATTTATATTGTATGATTTATGGCAACAATAAACAAACAAACAAACATTTTGATTATTTGACAATGTTAAACACTCTTATCTTTTGGATAACATTATTAAGATTATGACATTTATCATATAGTAATATTGAAAATGTATTGATATAAAGAGGCACCAGATACATATGCGCCACATAAATCTCAGTCGATTTGTGTGAGGGCTGTGATACTACCCAGTTGCCCAAATTGAAACAGGTGGTTTCATTAGGGGATCACACTACGAGCCTTTGACCTAAAGATCTGATCCACAAGGCAATGGAGCATTGTAAGAAGATGCCGTCCCATGATACCTGATGACTGACGATTAATTCATACGCTATTTGTTCCATCAGGATAATGAAGTCCATGTACACCATTGATTTGGAATGAGGGTTTTCCAACTCCCCTAGGTGGACTTTCCTTGTCCACCAACTCGGTTAAAGCGCCAAACATTCGCTTTTCGTCCTCTCAATTTCACAAACAACACTCGTGGTGCGACAAGACAGCGAGTAGGACTTCCCTGTGAGAGGCTATATACATGTGGCCATGTGAGAGAATTTCGAGGGGGAGAACGGACTCTCCCCACACTCGGCCGTACTAGAGCATTTGAGGGCTAAATGTTACAGTGATTGGATTGAACTACAAAATGTAGAGAAGATTTAAGGATGCAACTAAATGATAGAAAACTAAACATAAATATTATTAGACTATATTGTATCATTCAAAAGACAACTTTTGGTAATATTCCCCTATTAATAAACTATGGGTAAAAATACAATATAACACTTGGATTGGATTCCACTCTGTTTAGGACTCATCAGTTGTATGTACACGGATTCCAATGTTAATGTTCCCATTGAATAGAATAAACCCAGTACTTAGATTATGTAATTCTACTTATGACTGATTGTTAAATCTGACAAACGATTTCCAATATTATGTATTTTCTTAAATTATAACTTACACTCATTATAATGAGATGATTTCAATTCATTATCTTTAGATTTCAGATTAGAATAAGTAACTCTATGTGTAAAAAAGTCCGTCGAAAGAGTAATATAATTAAATTTTAAGTTATATGATTTGAATAGAGAAGAAAAAAGATTAAAGTTATTGCTTTCCGACTACACATAGATAACAGTAAACAATAGATAAGAATGATGATGATGCTCCTGCTGCTGCTGATGATGATGATGATGATGATGATGATGATGATGATGATGATGATGATGATGATGATGATGATGATGATGATGATGATGATGATGATGATGATGATGATGATGATGATGATGATGATGATGATGATGATGATGATGATGATGATGATGATGATGATGATGATGATGATGATGATGATGATGATGATGATGATGATGATGATCTGGATGATCTGGATGATCTGGATGATCTGGATGATCTGGATGATATGGATCATGATGATGATACATGAGGTTTACAATCATTTAATTATTAATGCATTGAATAATAATCACATATTTACTTTAACTATACAATTAGATTTTGTTTCAAGATTGAAGGATGAATAAATGTAAATGCGGACAATTTCAAATAATGAAATGAAATGAGTAGTATTTGCATGATCATAATATTATCCTTTTTATAAATAATAATAATAATAATAATAATAAATTACAACAATAGTTACGTAATCACAAAGGGGTTTTCGTGGAGATTTTAGTAATTTTATATAGTTAAGATCATGAGTCAATTGAAGCTAGACCACCGTGGTAAACCTGGAAGCACTGGACGGCCCATAATGGGACGAAACATCCGTCCAGTGCTTCCAAGTTCTCCACAGTGGTCTAGCTCCAATTGACTCATGATCTTAACTATATAATAAAATAATTACGTAATCTAATTTTTCAGACATTTTTTTTAAAATCTAAAGTTAACGAAAAAAGAGAAAAACAAAAAAGAAGAAAAAAAGAAAGAAAAAAGAAATGGAAGAAAAACATAATTCAAATAATTCAATTCATCCATGAGTCCCATTATTTCTTTATACATCAATGACATCAGCAACGGACCATATTTTAGAAGGATTATTCAATGGGTTTCTTTGTGGATCTATTACGATACTACTATTGATAGTAGTAGTAGTAGATTCAACAGATGATGATGAAGATGAGGATGACAATTCTGATGATTCTAATGATTTACAATATAATCGATATTGATCAATATTTTTTTGGTAAATTAATGGATTCATATGAATTAGTTTAGTATTATCATCATGATTCCATAGATCATTATTATTATTCTCTATAGTATTCTTATCAATGATTGATTTGATCTTAGATAAATTGATATCATTCAATAAAATATTTGAATATTCAGCCAATTTATCTTGGATTTGAAAACATTGTTGTTCTTCTTGTCGTCGTTCTTGTTGTTGTTGATGTTGTCGTCGTCGTTCTTCTTCTTCTTCTTCTTCTTCTTCTTGGTCTTCTTTTTGTTGTCGTCGTCCTTCTTCTTCTTCTTGTTCTCCCGATTGTTGTTGTTGTCGTCGTTCTTCTCCTTCTTCTACTTGTACTTGTTCTCCTTGTTGTTGTGTGTTTTTATTCAGAAAATATTTAAAAATTAGTTGACTATTTAAAGATTTCAAATGATGATGATGATTATTATTTACTGGATGAATTGAATAATCTGTCATTATTGTTGACCTTAAATTTGATGTCACTTTTGGTAATTGGTCCGTATTATTATTATTACTACCACTACCACTAATACTATTATTATGATTATCAGTAGTATCAGTAGTATTGTTAGTATTAGTAGTATAATGACTATTTAAATGAATTGAATTAGTTGTTATTATTCTATGATGACGTATTTTCGGGATCCATGTCATTTGATTTTCTTTTTTTAATCTTCTTCTAGCATTAGCAAACCATGTTGATATTTGTGTTAAACTTAAATGAGTTATTAAAGATAATTTAATTTTTTCATTTTTAGTTGGATATGGATTATAACGATGATTATTTAACCAGGATTTTAATAAATTTGTTGTTTCACGAATTGTAAATTTTTTCATTGATAATGGATGATGATGATGAGGAGGAGGAGGAGGAGGAAGAGGAGGAGTTGTACTTTTATGAATGGATAATCTATAATAAGGCAAAAGAAAAACAAGAAAATAAAGGAAGTCTCTAACTTGCGTATGTGCATACTGCAGATATGCCCCCAAATGCCCTGATACGTCCGAGAGTGAGGAGAGTCCGCTCTCCCTCTCCAAATGCTCTCATATGGCAACGCGTATATGGCCTCTGACAGGGAAGTCTTACTCACTGCCTTCTCGTGGAGGGGGTGTTTTTTACGAAAGTGAGAGGACGAAAAGCGAATGTCCGGCGCTTCAACCGGGTTGGTGAACACGAAAAGTCCACCTAGGGGGGTTGGAAAACTTTGATTCAAAATCAGTGGTGCACATGTGCTCCATTATCCTGATGAACCAAATAGCGTATGAACCAATCGTTGGTCACCGGATACCAAGGGACTGCATCTCCTCACGATGCTCCACTGCCTTATGGATCAGATCTTTAGGTCAAAGGCTCGTAGTGTGGTCCCCTAATGAAACCACCTGTTTCAATTTGGGCACCTGGGTAGTATCACAGCCCTCACACAAATCAAATGAGATTTGTATAGTGCATATTTATCTGGTGTTTTCTTGTACTAATATTTATATATTTAAATATTAAAAAAAAATACTGCGGGTATTACCTCGATATTGCCTCAAATCATAAGTATTATAAGCAAAGATGAATAGTGACTACCAGTGGAATTAACAAAGAGTGTCTCGTTTTATGATTATCTAACTTCAATTGATTCATGATCTCAACTATTAAAATTAGTTAATAATTGTATGAATTAGTCAGTCTTGTTATGAATAATTTGATTTAGTTCTTTTTCCAAATAGCTGTGAGATATCAACTCACTGAAGACAATTGGTGAATGGTTGCTCAACTTCGTGGATTGGTTGAAGTTAGATATTAACACCGTGGATATCGGCTCAGTGGTCTATCGTTTAAGTGCTCTGGTGTGAGACTAGTAGGTCCTGGGTTCGAATCTCGTGAGGCAAAGTCGTGGATGAGCACTTCTGAGGAGTCACACGCTAGGACGAAACGGCCGTTCAGTGCTTCCAGGTTTACCACGGTGGTCTAGCTTCAATTGACTCATGCTTTCAGATATGATTATTAAAAAAACAATTTATTCATTCTCACTTACATTGGTTTCTTTTCTTTTGGTAGAATTTCATATTCTTTATTAGGATATTCATTCTATATTGGAAAAGAAATAATAATTAATGATTGCCTAATCTATAATAATGGTGTTTATTAACAGTTGTCTACGCAAAAAATACTTCGGATTCCTCGCTCAGACACTATCAGCAACAACTTATTGTGGGAAAGAATAAACTAGATTTCACTGGAGGAAGAAACCAGGAATAAGCGGTGGAAGTGGACAGGACAGATATTGAGGAAAGCACCCAATTCCGTCTGTAGCTCTTCTAGAGTTACTGCCGATCTCAAGCCCGGGTAAAAAAGGAGGGTTTGGAATGAGGTTAGAGACCCCATCCCGTAGAAAAACTAACTCGCTAAAAAAACGCTAACCAGAAAAAATAATTCAAACCACTTAAACTCTGCCCTCGGAGTTAAAGGAATAATTATGACGCCTCATGATGAAAGCCGAGATTTTTCGGAAGTCATAAGGCCGATGCCCCATCTGATAACCAGAGTATTACTCTTTATAGGTACCCAAATGAGACACAAGGCAAGCTCTCATTTGGGATAATCAAAGCCAAAGGAGGAGAAGAAGACGAAAGAACACGTTAGGCTGAGAAATAGAAACAGGCATGAGGAGAATGAACATTTGGATAGAACTAGAAAGGAAGGCCTAGGACAGAGTGGGTTGGAGAATGCTGGTCGGTAGCCCATGCTCCGTTGGAGGTAACAGGCGTAAGTGATCTGTAACAATAGAACCTCATTTTATAATTCATATAAACACCATTAGTTAAAGTGTATGATCATCGGAAGTTCATGGTTTAATTATAATAAACAGTTGAGTATCAATATTATAACTAATCCTATTTTCTATTTACTGTATATTGTGTAATGCAATCAAATTAAGTTGCATTACCTTCCATTTTCACAGTTAACAGACAGACAGTATAACAAATATTACGATCAGATTTGATTTCAGTAGTTAGTTTAGCAAGTGAAAAGCAGCAGTAGCGAAGTCTAGGATGAGTGTTTCGTCTTAGTTGGCACTCGTCAGTTGGATTTACCTGTATTGCAGATTTGATGTTCACTACGGGATTCGAATTCAGCACCTTTCGTTTCAAACAACATCGTGTTATCCACTTAGCTACTGAGTCTTAGCAAGTGAGAACATTTAAATTCTACTAATTCCCGTTTTATTTTAACGACAACAAGTGAAATTTCAACATTTTATCTGACTTTTTTTAGCAAAGGAAAGGTAATGAATTCACTTAGTGTTATTTGCTTGTATCTTCTCAAGAGACTGATCAATTACAGTTCTAAATAACAATGAGAAGACACAAGCAAACAACACCAAGTGGATTTAAACTTCACCACATTGCACAAGAAAGTGGATATCCGACCTCAGTAACTAAGTGGATAACTCGATGACGTCTGGAGCGAATGGTACTGGGTTCGAGTCCCAGAGTGAACATCAACTCTGAGATGGAGGTACATTCATCTGACGAGTCGTAAACAAGACAAGACACGCGTCCTGTGTTTAAGTGCTAGTCACTATCCATCTTTGCTTGGAAGGTGTTATGTTGAATAGTATCAAGTATTGAAATATGTTCGTTTGATATAGAGAAGTACATTTCAGTTAATGTAATATTACAATAAGTGTTTGAAGGTTATTCGAACACCTGATAAACGTAACTGTGTGATGTTTATTTAGAGAAGTACCGTTTTCTCTTTTGTAGGATGAAAACTAATCTTTAGTATCGAAAATAAATTTTGAGTATGGGATTGTAGAAATTGTTTGGTCGTCCAATTTCGTGGATTGGTTGAGGTTAAACATTAACACCGTTGGGTGCCGGCCAGCTCAGTGGTCTAAAGATTCAGCGTTGGTGCGCGAGACCGAAGGTCCTGGGCCTGAAGCCTGCGAGCGAGGTCGTGTATGCGCACTGTTGAAGGGTACCACTCTACGACGAAACGTTCATCCGGTGCTTGTAGGTTTTATTGGTGGTCTAGCATAGATCGACTCATGAATTCAACTATCGAAATTGTTCAGTCTGTTGAAGCAATATTCAAATGATTCTATTTATTGCCCACTTCTGGACTAATTATGCGACTGTATCTTTTTGAAATAAAATAAGTCCTTAAAACCTATAAAGTTAATATATTTTACTTGTTTTGATGATGGAGATTAACTAACGGTCGGAACAATAGCTAGAAATTCAATTTTCTCTGACACTGATGACAAACTTTCAAGAATTACATAGCTGTATAAGGAGATAATTCATTGAAGAAAATAGCTTATTTCAAGTGGAGTAGGCGTTTACTGGCAACCAAAGAAACTACAAAAGTAACGTAAGTCCATGATGGCGAATCTATAATTTATGGACAAACCAATCACGTATAAGATAACTGATCTCGGATTTTTGGTGCGAAATTCACTCATCCAATTGAATAAATAGAGTTTTGGCATTATAACTGATGTCAATTCGTGATGAAAACCCTAAATCTAACTTCTGACCTTGATCATCAACTGTAAATCATAATTCTGCCCCCAAATGCCCTGGTGCGGCCGAAAGTGGTGAGAGACCGCTCTCCCCCTCCGAATGCTCCCACATGGACATGCGTATAAATCCTCTGCCAGGAAAGTCCTACTCACTGCTTTCTCACACCACGGGTGTTGTTTACAAAATTGAGGAGAAGGAAAGTGAATATCTGGTACTTCAACCGGCTTGATGGACACAGAAGGTTCATTTAGGGAAGTTGGAAAACCCTGATTCCAAACCAGTGATGCACATGGGCTCCAGAATCCTGAAGGAACAAATGGCGTATGAACCAATCGTTGGTCACCGGCTACCATGAGACTGCATCTCGTTACGATGCTACACTGCATTGTGGATCAGAGTTTTAGGTTGAAGGCTCCGGGTGTGGCCTCCTAAGAAAACCAACTGTTTCAGTTTAGGCACCCGAGCAGCATCACAGTAACACATATCAAATGAGATTCGTGTGGCGCATATATATCTGGTGTTTCCTTGTACCAACATTTTCGTGTTTAAATAAATAAATCATGATTCCAATTCCTTGTACACGTTTATAACCCTCATTTGGTCCTAGTTATTAAATTGACACTCTGAAAGTCACTCTAGCGTCGTTCGAACAACATCCATAAAATATAGTCACACTAGAACGACTACCAATGAAGAAAATGAAGAGCATCAAAATGGCTTCGAGGCTTTTAGACAATAGAAAGGAGAATAAAACTAATGTATTGACACAAATAAAATGTATTCAGATGAGTTCTAGATTTTTAAAAATAAATTCTTCTTTATTGTTTTCATATTGATCGATGCCAATAGTAGAACTTTTTGAGTATCACTGACTAGCTACTGTGATTCATTGGCCTTTAAAACTATCTTCGTATATTGGCATTCACCCAAGCTTATATCGGAACTAATGAATACCAAGAAAATCATAGTCTCCTTTCCATAAAGTTCTTTGGAACACATCGATGACAAAGTTGTAAACAAGGGATTCGACTCAACACAGTTTGATTTGAATTACCTCATCAGTTGATGAGAGTAAAAAAAAACTCCATTACATTATGAATATCATAAAACAAACTCACTGTAATGTTTTCATCCTCGACCATATTTAAATCTGTTTCACACACTTTCTTCACTTCTATATCATGATCATTGTTTAAAGTGGATTCTTTGGTCATAGATCCTAGTTTATGAATATCTAAGCAGGATTCTTTCAATGTAGAATTTGACTCATATATATGTTTTGAATATAAACAAGATAATGGATAATTTTTAATTAGATCAAATTGATGAAAAGATGACCAATTTGAAGTGAATACACATGGATGTGGTAATGGAAGCCATGAATTCATAGATTGTTTATCTAATAATGTATCATATTGTGACTTAATGACATCGTTGGTAGCTAACATCTTAGAAGAAGAAGAAGAAGAAGAATTGTTTGATTTTGAAGTCAGATAATACCTGTTTAACATATGTATCAGTTGTCTAAAATTAGAAAACAAATAAAATTTAAAGTAATTAACTCTACATAGATAATGGTTAACAGTGGAATACACGACGCGCGTCACGTCCTATTTGGGACTCGTCAGCTGGATATACCTGCATCTCAGAGTTGGTGTTCACTAGGGGATTCGAACTCAGTACCGTTCTCTTCAAACACAATCACGTTATCCACTTAGCTACTACTCCACCTTCAGCCCCTCAGAGACTACTGTCTGTCCCAAACCAGTATAAAGAAGGAGGATTGGGTATAGGTTTAGCGGCCCCATCCCTAAAGGAACTAACTCTTTTAAAGAAAACTCTAAAAACACTTAATGTCACAAACTATAGGATGTATCAGTTATACCTTCATCAAAATATTACTCATTTATGGTAGTACACATTTCTTATCACTGTTTCCATTGTATAAAATATTCAGTAGGAATGATAAGATGCCAGTATCTTTACATTTCTCATCTTTCCATGTATCAAAAATTTCAACAACTTGTTAGAATAGTATGCATAGATAATTATTCTTAAATTTGGTTGGTCAAAATTCATCCAAACTTTAAATTGGGTAGTAGCTGGTAGTGGAATCCACAACACGTGTTTCGTCTTATTTAGGACTCGTCAGCTGGGTGTACCTGCATCTCAGAGTTGGTGTTCACTGTGGGATTCGTACTCAGTACCATTCGCTTCAAACGCCATCCTAAACATAAATCAATTTTAGTAGGTTGGATGTAACTAACATAAACAAATATCTGACTTGTAGTGACTTAGATTTGTTGATCAATCACCTTGATAACTGTTATTATATAAATTTCACCGGTATTTGAATTCAGAAGTGGTGACTACAGTTTGTTTGCTGATAGAACAGATAACAAAGTAACAAGCACATTCAGCGAATTGGAGCACAGAGACTAATGCCTGTGTGCGAACGACTTCCGAGGTGAATTTATAATCAAATCAAATAAAAGCTCAGCTAGGCAAGTCAAAGGTTACTAATAGTATTCAAGTACATACATACATGGCAAAGAAAATGCCAAACTCAGTGATATTTAAGCGATAAACATTCAAGACAGAGAGAGATATGTAAGTAGGTAGTAATGTGATCAAGCATACACGTTTATACAGACATGATAATGATCATAATAGTATAAAGAAATAGACGAATTTCTACTGTCCGAATAACATTGTCTGTTAAATAAGTTAGTAAAAACGGTTTGACAGAAGTTAAGCCTAATCGAAATTGATTGTAGGAGAGTTACTATAGTCTAAAGTATCTTGTTAATTGACGCCAGTTAATAAACTGTATGCATAGCTTCAAACTGGTTATGTCTCCCCATCCAATTCAAACCTATTTACAATTAAATTGATCACTGAGAATTGACCAATGTTATATTTATCCGATCATTTAATAGTGATCTCATCTTGTTGAACAATTCGTGTAATATGGCTACTATTCTAAATCAGTCAACGTCATCAACTCTATAGTTCGATGTTAGTTTGTGATGATAGGGGATTTTCAGAAAACCCTACTTCGAGTAGTCTCTATTCAAGTAATTATTTGTCTAAAAAAATTTTCTCCTTCCTCAACCAGATAATTAGACTAAGATAGAATTACTTTGATTAAAAAATTGACTAATTATAATCAGAAGGGGGTTTGTGGAGATTTCAGTGTTTTAATAGTTGAAATCATAAGTCAATTGAAGCTAGACCATCAAGGAAAACCTGGAAGCACTGGACAGCTGCTTCGTCTTATTGTGGGACTCTTCAACAGTGCGCTCACTAGTGACTGACTTCAAGAGATAATTCCTGGAGTTCTAGTGAAAAGCAGTGACCAATGGAGTTCAAACCACATTTGTTGTGAGATAGGAACTTACTGAAGACAATTAGTGAACGGTTGCTCAAACATCGTGGATTGATTGAAATTGACTGATTAACTACTAATTATTTCTAGAAAATTTATTTCATACAATTGAAATGGAGAAAAGTTAACCGTTGGCATTTTCATTGAATCAATGTCATTCGGTAATTTTAACAACTTTGAGAGATATTTACTTTGATGATATTGATGATGTCTTCTTAGATGAAAAGGTACGGGATGAAATGTATCCTACCTATTTAAAGTGTAACATCATGATCGTATTTGATAAAAATTTGAAATTATAAAGCTTTATGAAAAAATTAAGCTTGTAAAAATAAGGTCCGATATTGTTATATCGGATTATGATCTAAATCTAAATATTTAAAACAATTTAACCATTGGATTCTTTGGTCAATCCAAGCTAGACTACCATTGAAAACCTGGAGTCACTGTATGGACATTTCGTCCTAGTACGGGACTACTCAGCAGTGTACATATACGATCCCCACGTGAGACTCCAGCACAGGACCTTCGGTTTCGCTCACGAACGCCAACATCTGGACCACTCAGCTGACATCCAACAGTGTTAATGTCTAAATTCAATTGATTCATCATCTTGTGCAACCCTTCATACATTGTCTGGGATGGATAACTGTCATCACTCGATACGGATTGGACTACACTGGTCATAGCTTCTCACTCACACTCCAAGAAATCCATCTTGAAGTTGGTGACTATTGAGCACATGATTATTATCAGTATGAGGATTTGTGGAGATTGTAATATTTTAACATTTAAATTCACTAATCCCGCGTATAGGATCATGAGTGCACATTGCTGAGAAGTTCTATACGAAAATGAAACGACTGTCCAAGGCTTCTAGGTTTTCAATGATGGTCTAACTTAGATTCATTCATAAATCCAACTTTGAAAATACTACAATCCCCACAAATTCCCATACTGAAAACATTATAGAATTGATGAACTGTAAAACTAAAGTCTTACATGAATATATATTGAACAAACTTTTATATTCATTTAGATGTGATTACTTTTCTAGTAAAATAGTATTCATTTGTATCGTCCTGGTAATCGTTACTCGATTACGCCTAAACGATGTATAAAACAGAAGGTGAATACGAAGTGTTGATTACGTTTATTATTGAACCACGCACATATTGAAAAAATTACAGGTACGTTAACCAAGCATGAAAGAGTAGTGCCGAAAAGTAAGCGAATCGAATGAGCGAGCGAATGATCGAGTCGATAAACGAGTGTGCAAGTCAGCGAAGAGGATTAAAATGTATATATAGTTGAATATTTTATAACTGAAATCATTAGTCAATTGAAGCTAGACCACCATTAGAAACGTGGAATCACTGAAAGGCCATTTCGTCCTAGTGTAAGACTTCTCAGCAGTTCGCATCCACGGGTGCACCTCACCAGATTCGAAACCAGAACATTTAGGTCTCGTGCACTAGCGCTTAACCTCTCTCTCTCTCAATTGTACGTGAACTGCTATAAGTAATACAGCTTTATACTTAGAGAAATCACATCACTTATGCATTCTTGATTAGTTAGTTAGTTAAGTTCACAGTGTAGTTAGTTAATAAGGTTTACAAGGATAAGTAGAAGTAACATTAAAACTATCTTTTTTTTTCTTTCCTCTTAACAATAATATGATCACTTATTGTTTGTGAAAAGAAAAGAAAGAAAAAACGAGGTCTACTTTCAAATTAGCTCCTTCATTCATTGTTTTTGATTTTTGTTTATTTATAATTGAACATTATCAATCACTCTCATATAAATGAATAAAGAGAAAATTTTCTTGGTAAGTTATGAGAAATTCACTGTAAATATTCCCATACATCTATATGATGGTGATGATATGGATGATCATGATGGTGGCGATGACGAAGAAGAAGAAGAAGAGGAAGAAGAGGAGGAGGGGGAAGAGGAGGAACAGGGGGAAGAGGAGAAGAAGCAGGAGGAGAAGGAGAAGGTGTTGATGACAATGGTAGAGAAAATCATTCAGTTTAACTTTAAACAACAAATCTGATCATAAAGGAAACTTTTATAATTGAAAATTATTTTGCTTTTTATTAGATTAATCACTCTATACTACTACTAGTAACAGTAATATGATTATTCTCATCATTATTTAATTTTATAAGATGAGAATAGAAACATCTGGAATAAAAGATTATGTTTCAACTAATGGTCACTTTTATATGTTTTGTTTTTAATCAATAATCAATAAATAAAGAAAAACTTTTGTTAAACTAATATCATATCCCCTTCTCATAACGATCATATACTCACTAGTGACTGGCTCCATGATGTATTACCTGGAGCTCTAATGAAAAGCAGTAACCAGTGGATTGCAACCAGGTCTATTGGGAGATATCAACTCACTGATGACATTGATGAATGGTTGCTTAATTACATGGATTGGGTGAAGTTAGACATTAACACCGTTGGATGCCGGCTAGCTCAGTGGTCTAGTGATTAAGTGCTATGGCGCGAGACTGATAGGTCTTGTGTTCGAATTTCGTTAGGCGGGATCGTGAATGCACACTGCTGAGGAGTCCCACAATGAGACGAAGTGGTTGTCCAGTTCTTCCAGGTTTTTCATGGTGGTCTAACTTCAATTGACTCATGATCCCAACTATATAAAATGACTAAAATTTCCAAAAAACCCCTTTCTGATAATATAATTTGCATTTTTGTTTGTTTTTGCATAGATTTTTATTGAAGAAAATTGAAAGATCGGATGATGATGATGTCAAACTCAATATAGTTTGCAAACAGGTTGCATACGTACTAATGCATTATTTATTAAATGGTATATTAATTAGGTCTTTCACTTGTATCGTACTAAAGAGCATGTTTGATAAATCCACTTACTTGTTAGAGTATATACATTGGGTTGTGGAGATTATTATGTTTTTGATTGAGATTATGAATCGATTGATGTTAGATCACCATTAAAAAACTGAGAGCACTGGACAACCGTTTCGTTCTATTGTGGAACGCCTCAGCAGTGAGTATCGACGATCTCACCTCACGAAATTTGAACCTACTACCTATTGGTCTCGCGAGCGAACGCTTAGTCTGAGGTGTCTCACAGTAGGACGAAATAGTTGTCCCGTGCTTCCATGTTTTTGATAATGATCTAACTTCAATTGACTCATGATCTCAACTATTAAAATTACTATAATATCCACAGAAACGCCTTCTGATATTATTCAAAATTGACTAGATTCTATTTGTTATTAACAGATGTTAGATCTTATAATATAGGATATTTCCCTACTTAAAAAGTTCCATTTTTTCTGTCAATGAAGCTTTTCAATACATCTTAGTTCATGATTAAAACTGATATATTCATCTTTGATAAAATTCCATTTCAAATGAAGTCAATTGAGTTTTATAGTGAATATGAAAGACGTGGAACCTCTCCATGCATGTATATATATATATATATATTCTTTGGAAACTAAATAGAACGATGAATACAATAACATTGAGATTCACTTGATGTTGTTTACTTGTATCTGCCCATTGTTACTTAGGACTGTAATTGATCAGTCTCTTGTTGGCATATGTGCATACTGTACGTATTGATTGTATCGATATTGCCTGATGTCACAAGCTTTTTAAGCAAAGATGGATAGTGGCTAGCAGTAGAATTCAGGACGCGCGTTTTGTTTTATTTGGAACTGATAAGCTATATATACCTTTATCTCAGAGTTGATGTTCACTCTGAGACTCGGTGCAGGTAAATCCAGCGGATGAGTCCTAAATAGAACGAAACGCGCTTCCTGGATTCCACTACTAGCCACTATCCATCTTTGTTTATTAATATTGACATATTCAAGAATATAATAATTAGAAAAAAACATTTCATTACACTAGATAAACTGACATGAACTGTTCAAGAAAACAAAAAAAAGCATAAATGAAATACATTTTTGAATAATTTCTTTCTAAGTTTTCCTGTTGAACAGAAATTTGTTTTATTATAAGAAACTCCGCATAAGTGGATGATGGTTGTATACTATTGAGGAGTCCTATACGAGGATGAAACAGTTATTCAGTGATTCTAGGTTTTCAATAGTGATCTAACATTGATCGATTCATGATCTCAATCAAAATTTATAGTTATTTCAATAGTTGAGTTCATGAGTCAATTGAAGTCAGACCACCATGGAAAACTTGGAAGCTTTGGATGGCCGTTTCGTCCTATTGTGAGACTCCTCAGCAGTGTACATCCATCTATTTTATAATAAATAATAATAATAATACACAAACATTACTTACATGATCAGTTATTCAACATAAGTTTAATTATTCTTTTAATGATTAACTTAAATGTAATCCACTACAATTCAATTTATGTTTTATTTAATTAATTTTTCCCTCTTTTTGATAAACACACACACACTCACTCTCTCTTTTAATAATCTCCCCCTTACCCCCCCCCTTAAATTTTAATATAAAAATATAAAAATATACACAATATTATGCAACATATAAAAATTATAGGGAAATTTGTTTTATTTCAATGTATCCACCAATGTAATTTATAATGCAAGAAAAAAAAACAAGATAAATAATAACAATCCAACCCCCCCACCTCATCATTCCCCCACCCCTCTGTCGTATTCTCTTATAGTCTCTTACTTCAATTTAATCTTGCTAATTTCATAAGTGAAATAGAAATGAAAGTTACCCTCTCAGTAACATGAACATTAAGTTGATAGATAACATACTATTGAAATGAGTATATATACATCTATATAGATGTGTGTGTCATGATGTTTATATTGTACAGTCATATTATAAAGGACACATATGAAGACAAGGGGAGAAAATCTTACAAAAACAAATTCTATTCAGTCACTATGTGAACATGTGCTTATAAGAAGTTGTGATTAGTGGAATTATAACATGACAGGTGCGCAAATAGAAAATGATAATATAAGCAAAGATGGATAGTGGATAGTAGTGGAGTTCAGGATGTGTGTTTCGTCCTATTTGGGAGTAGATAACGCGATGGCATTTGAAGAGAAAAATACTGAGTTTCAATCCAAGAGTGAACATGAACTCTGAGATAAAGGTACATCCAGTTGACGAGTCCCAAATAGGACGAAACGCGCGTCAAACTGGATTCCACTGCTAGCCACTATCCATTTTTGTTTATAATGCTTCTGAATTAAGACTATATCGAGGCAATACGCACAGTATGCACATATGGCCAATAAGAGACTGACCAGTTGCAGTCCTAACACATCAATGAGAAGATTCAAACAATCAATACTAAGTGAATATGAAAATTGATGATAGTTATACAATAAGATGATTTGATTCAATTGAACTATGTAGACAGCCATTTAAGTAATTTAAAACAAATACAACCCCTTTGGTTCGATCACCTGAAAAGTCATGAGCATGTTATCTCCAAGATGAAATAACCATCGATGTTTCTCTTGATTACAATAGTTTTCTGTTTAAATTCACTTCATGATATAAACTAAAAATATGGTATCATCTTAATTTTTTGCTTTCACTTAGATATTATATTTACAGTAGTCTTCTTTTAAAAGTTCAATTAAGATACAGTAACCTTATGCAGTATTATATGCGCAGTATTATATAACTCAGTTTGAGCTAGATATTGTACATTTCAGTAATCATAAGTCAGATGTACCTACAATCTCTAGAAAACAAATTGGCCTACAGCCAACAATTAAGAAACTGTACTCAAAATATTTCTATGTATAATTAGGATTAGTAATACTTAGAGTTTTAATCCAGTCCCCAAATACCCTGGTACAGCCGATAGTGGGGAGAATCGGTTCTCCCTCTCGAAATTCTCTCACATGATCACACGTATACAGCCACTGACAATGAAGTCCTACTCACTACCTTCTCGCACCACGGTTGTTGTCTACGAGGTTGAAAGGACGAAAAGCCAATGTCAGGTACTTTAACCGGGTTGGTGGACACAGAGGGTTCATTTAGGGGAGTTGGAAAACCCTCATTCCAAACCAATGGTGTACATGGGCTCCACGATCCTGTAAGAACAAATGGCGTATGAACCAATTATTAGTCACCAGCTATCATGCGACTACATCACCTAACGTTGTTCCACTGCCTTATGGATCAGAGTTTTGGGTTGAAGGCTCTGAATATGACCCCCTAAGAAAACCACCTGCTTCCGTTTGAACACCCCGGCAGTATAATAGCCCGCACGCAAATCAAGTGACTTGTGTGGCGCATATGTATTATGTGCCTCTTTTTACCAATATTTATGTGTTCAGAAAAACTTAATGATCATATAAAGTTTTACATGATAAATAACTCTATGAAACAAGGTTTGTTATGACAGAATGGATGAATATGCAGAGTCTAAACCATCAGCTTAAAGTTGCATTGTGATTTTGATCATAATCGATGTAAGATAGACTTTTGATTTCTATTAAAGTTATGCGTTTTATTATTGAGGTTTAAAAATTAATATAAACACTAATTTTGATAATTTAACAGTCAGGCGAAAGTTATTCTCATCTAAAGTACAATTGAATTCTAGATAAAGTTGGATAGTGGCTAGCAGTGGAATCCAGGACGAGTGTTTCGTCCTATTCGGGATTCATCAGCTGGATTTAACTGCATCTCAGAGCTGATGTTCACTGTGGGACTCGAACACAGTACCTTTCGCTTTAAACGCCATCACATCATCTACTTAGCCACTGAGTCCTGATAGCCACCTGCTTGTGCAATGAAGTGAAGTCTAAATTCACTTGATATTGTTTGTTTTAATTTTCTCGATGATTTTTAGGTCTCTTATTGACATATGTGCATACTGTGCGTATTGCCTCGATATAGTCTTAATTCACAAGCATTATAAGGCTATATCGAGGCAATAAACACAGCATACACATATGGCAACAAGAGACTGATCAGTTGCAGTTCTAAACATCAATGGGAAAATTCAAACCAACAATATCAAGTGAATTTGGATTCTAGATAACTGTGAGTCTTCAATTTTTATCAAGAATACGCTGTACTGAATGTGAACACAGGTGAGGACAACCGATTATCTTTAATAAATTACAGGGTTAGTTGATAAAATAGGAAAATCATATTCCAGTATTTCATTTGTAAAATTTTCATTCATAGTCTCAGACTTTATTGTCTCTGTACTTCCATACTAATTGCTTTCTGTTCCCATTCTTCTCTCCACAATCTTCTCAAGCTTCTTCTGTCAGACAATCAGTTCCTGACTAGAACTATATACTACTTATATCGACATAAGTAGTACATACCACAACGCAAACATTTAGCCATTGGATTAGATATTGATAAACTCCTTTTCTGGATCTAAGGAATTTAAAGTTCGTCAGCCACTTAGAACTATCTACTATGTACCAACATTTACAATTCGTTTAGTGTGTAACTGATCGCCATATAAATAATTTACTTATGACTACAACTCCATCAAAAAGAAAACCCACTGTAGTTTTGAGAACAATTTGTATTATTTAAATGTCTCACATCATCAGAAGGGGTTTTGTGGAGATTTCAGTATTTTTCGAAGTTGAAAACATGAGTTAATTGAAGCTAGACCACCATGGAAAACCTGGAAGCACTGGACAGCCATTTCGTACTATTACGGTACTCCTAAGCAGTGCTTCCAGGTTTTCCATCGTGGTCTAGCTTCATTTGACTCATGATTTCAACTTTTAAAAATGTATCATATCACATGAACTTTTTAACATATTTTACTACGTATTACATCATTTAAAGCTAAAACACTGTCTTTTAATGAAATTTAAGACTTAAAATTTGGTGTAAGACAATGAAAGTGAAATTTGATTGGTGTTTGAGCGTAGACTGACTATAGAATATGTGATTTCCTCTTTACTATTGATTTCAACTCTGGATCCATTGAGTGTAGATTACTTTTAATTGTATTGAATAAATTATTGTCTAATCCATGCCCCCGAATTCCCTGGTACGACCGAGAGTGGGGAGAGTCCGCTCTCCCTCTCAAAATGCTCTCACATGGCAACGTGCATACAACCACTGCCAAGGAAGTCCTACTCATTGCCTTCTCGTGGCATTACTGTTGTTTACGAAATTGAGAGGACGAAAAGCGAATGTGCGGTGATTTAACCAGGTCGGTGGACATGGATAAGTCCACCTAGGGGATTTGGAAAACCCTGATTTCAAACCAATGGTGCACATGGGCTCCAGTATCCTGAGGGAACAAATGGCATATGAATCAATCGTTGGTCACCGGCTACCATGGAACTGCACCCATCTCCTTACGATGCTCCACTGCATTGTGGACTAGACCTTCATGTCAAAGGTTCCGGGTGTGGCCCCCCAAAAAAACTACCTGGTTCAGTTTGGGCACCTGGGCAGTATCACAGCCCTCACACAAATCTCATTTGATTTGTGAGGCGCATATGTATCTGGTGCTTCCTTGTACCAAAATTTGTGTGTTTAAATAAATAACAATAAAATAATCCATACTATAGTTCTCTATTTTTAGTTGTAAATCATGTATCTGGTATATGGTGATCCAGTTTGTGCATAATGTATTGATAAAGTATCCAACGAAGAGGTAATATAAATTCGGTCATCGGTTGTATCATTAAGTAATAGTAGTATATTGTCACAAACCGAAAATATTTTTATCCTCCCTTTATATTCAAAATTGAAATGAAGAGATTTAATAGACTCAACTTTATTTTACAAAATTTAAGGTGTATCAATTTTATCACCTTCTGGATTTTTACCATTTGTGGAACTATAGTTATACTGTGTTTCTTTCCTTTGATCCAAATTTCCCTAAAAGTCCTCAGATGGCAATTTCTTCAGTTAATTCTTCGTTACATAACTTTTTCGACCCCGAAAGTTTCGCCAGGATCTTGTGCATGAAAGATAATCCTGAATCCACTCTATCAACATTGAGCCGTCCGGACAGTATAACTGCTGGGAAGAAAGTATAAGCGACTGAACACACTGAATTTTTACGTCAACACCGGAGGTTTGTGGTAGCCTTATCCTTGCAGAAGGCTTTTATTCTTTAAGATCCAGACTAAAACGCTTGATAAGAGCTGTTATCTTTAGATTGTTACAATTATATATAAATACTTGTACATTTTTGATAAAGTTTGTAATAGTTATCCAAATTTCAACTCTGTACAGTAGAACTGTCTTCACGTTCGTATTGAAGATTCTGACAGTGATATTGATTAACAGTTTTTCTGAGTTCCATATGTTCTTCAACTATATGAGTGTCACTAATGCTTTACCAATCATTGCCTTTACGT